ATATTCCAATAAGACACTTCCTCTTCATTGTTCGCGCCTGTATGCTCTGGCGGAAAATTCCGGTTGTTCTTCTTTTTGGACTTTATGCCAGGACCTGAGTTCTGCGTACACATCCGTTTTAATGGCTTTGTGTGTGTGTGTGTGTGTGTGTGTGTGTGTGTGTGTGTGTGCCGCCCCCAATTAGTTGACTCCTACGACATGCTGGTTGTGGAGGAATTTGTTTATTCATATTTTCCCCACAAATGTGGCCCCGGAACGGACACGAGGAAAAGACACTTGAATATCTACTGCGTTCAAGAGCAGCAACTCTACTCCTTGAAGTTCGACAAACGTAATGGCTATATAGGTTAATTGCGTATCCTTTACAGGACGTTGCAGAACCAACCCCATCCCCTTGCTGTTGTTGGGTTTTTCTATGCAAATTTACGTCCAGTAGTTTGCCATTGCTTTCTGGACGGTTGGCTTTCTTGATACCACTGTCGAAACCACCACAAGGCACATGGCCCGCAGCTGGCATTGAACCCGGCATCCCGGCATTACGAAGCGTTCGCATCGACTTAGCCACAGAGCCGACAATGGCTATATAAACATCTATAAAAGGCAAAACGTAAATGACGATTTCGCCCTACATCCATTCGTATGTTACTGTGTAAAAAAAAAAAAAACTGGGACAAGAAGATCGTATGCAATCTTTGCAGAAAACAATTTAAATAAATAGATAAAGGATGTTGCGTCGTCACGCTTTTGTCAGCAAACAACAGCAACAACATGCAGCAAAACACAAAGAAGGAAATGACGTGCAAGTGGCAAGCTCCGTAAGTGTGCTCCAGGTTATGGTTCGGTGGGCTCTGCACAGTCAGTGTGTTGTATGCCAGGAAAGGAATAACGTCGAACTAGATATTTTGGAGTTCTCCTCGTGTGTTTATTTCTGTGTACCCCTCACTGGTGTCTCAAGGCCATTTCAGGCCAGTGGTTCGCTGTTCCATACGATTGCTAGAATCATAGATCAAGTCAATGTTCTACCCCGCCCCCTCCCATCTTGCTGGTTGTCACATAGTTAAATGCGCGTGCGCACACACACCAAATACGCGCGTGTGTGCACACACACACAAAAAGTCAGAAATGGATGTGATTTATAACAGAATTCTTCCCATGACCCCCCCCCCCCCCTCGTTCAATCTCTCTCTCTCTCTCTCTCTCTCTCTCTCTCTCTCTCTCTCTCTCTCTCTCTCTCGTCCGTGTATGAATGTGTGTGTGAACTATGTAAGTATGTATGTGTGTGTATTATATTAATATATGGTGATAATAATATATTGTCTATGAACCAGTCTATATTTGATTGGTTTCGTGGTCAGTGTCACACCGGCTGACGTGTCTTCCTGGAACCTACCCTAAAGGCAAGAAAGATCGTTTTGATATCTACGACGCGTTTAAACCCCTCTGCTCCGTATACAAGAAAATGCGGTAATTCTCCCATTCGCCCGCAATGTTGCAGAGTTTGACCACAAATTGCCCAGACCTTCTGGGAGATTGACTACCATTTCACGGCTGGTTGATCCAAAAATATCTAGTTTCAATTTGTCTTTGTCGGGGGAATTAGGTCACTGGGACAGTTACTGACACCAGCGACAGAAATTGGTACACACCATGTTCCCCCCTAGATTAGCAGCAAAGGGGAGTCGCCGTGGCGTAGCGGCTAGAAGCTCGCCTGCGGATCGGAAGGTCGTGAGTTCTCTCCCTGGCGGACCCAGACTTTTCTTAAGAAATGACTTTGGCTCCCAGGTCGACCCAGCCTCCAGGTGCAGTCCCGGGAAGTAAAAGGCGGTCGGCCTGATGCTGACCACATCACCCATCCTGTGTCGACTGGTCTATAAAATATAAGTCTAGCCCTATATGCCCAATACGCCTAGAGGCTTAGAAAAGGGTCCGTTACGTGATTTTTTTTAAAAATTACTTTTTTTTAAAGCGGCAAATCAGAGACGTTCGAACGGTTGCATCGATATATATAATTATTTTATTTACTGGACCAAAGGTGTCTAGTTATTTGGACTACTAAATGTCCTTGAAGGGGGGGGGGGGGGGAGAAAAAGAGGGGGGGGGGGGGGGTCATCTGGTCATATTGGCTAAGCCTTTGACATTGTGCAATGGAGGCAGTGCAATGTAACAACAATGGGCGCTTTGGGCATTTGACGGCAGCCCCAAGAACATAGAGGTACCATAATATTATGTGCAAGCCTAATGACTGGCCATAAATACCAATTTCATTCCCGTGCATTCTGAACGTACAGTTAAATTAAAAAAAAAAAAAACAGATACAGAAGCAAACTTTCTGGGTCAAGTGATTTGAGGGTAATATTAACTAAACGTCCCATTTACATAAAGAGAATGATCAAAAAATCATCCAAACAGCTTCATTCATCGCATTAAAGTCAACCGGACATTAAACGTGCCCTGGTTTTTTTTTTTTCTAAGTATTCACCGTATTCAAAGTCGGTGTGCCGCGAAAATTTATTTGTCCGACAAGGGTGCCGTGGCGAAAACAGTTTGAGAACGCTGCTTTAGTCGAGTAATTGGTAGCTTTCTTCGTAGTCCAAGTACATCTACCTGAGAGGCAAAGGAAAAACAGTTTGCATGCAAATGAGTCAGATCTGTGAAACGGATGTGCACGCAACACTCCGTTTCTGGAACATGACTAGAGTCCAGAAGTGGAGGAACAACCAAAACTTTCCGCCAGACGGTTTACAGACGGTGAATGCGAAGAAGAAACAGATTTTCTAGAAATGTCGAGCACGGTCAAAACAAATTACAGGCTCTCTTTGCAAGTCTCAAAGTATGTTTTGTAAATACTGTTAATGATTCAAAGTGGTGGATACAGATGAAGGGGAAGAGAAGGAGCGAAAACGATAGAAAGAGTGATAAAATGAGAAGCGGATAGAGGGAGAGAGATTATGAAGATTCAGACAGACAAACAGACAGACAGACAGACAGACAGACAGACAGACAGACAGACAGAGACAAGTAGGTAGGAGGATGGACGGGCATACAGATTGACCGACAGACAGGCAGGCAGTCAGAGAGACAGACAGGCAAACAGAAAGACAGCTGGACGGATTGTCAGACAGACAGACAGACAGACAGATGGATGGATGAATGGTCAGACAGACAGACAGATAGACAGCTGGACGGATGGTCAGACAGACAGACAGGCAGTCAGACAAATAGACAGACAGCTGGACGGATGGTCAGACAAACAGACAGACAGCTAGACGGATGGTGAGACAAGCAGACAGACAGCTGGATGGATGGGTGGTCAGACAGACAGAAAGGCAGCTGGACGGATGTTCATACAGACAGGCAGCTGGACGGATGGTCAGTCAGACAGACAGGCAGCTGGACGGATGGTCAGACAGACAGACAGACAGACAGGCAGCTGGACGGATGGTCAGACAGGCAGACAGGCAGCTGGATGGATGGTCAGACAGACAGACAGACAGACAGCTGGACGGATGGTCAGACAGACAGACAGACTGGCAGCTGGACGGATGGTCAGACAGACAGACTGGCAGCTGGACGGATGGTCAGACAGACAGACAGACAGACAAACAGACAGGCAGCTGGACGGATGGTCAGACAGACCGACAGGCAGCTGGACGGATGGTCAGACAAACAGACAGACAGACAGGCAGTTGGACGGATGGTCAGACAGACAGACAGACAGACAGACAGACAGACAGACAGACAGACAGACAGACAGACAGACAGACAGACAGACAGACAGACAGACAGTTAAACGGATGGTCAGACAGATAGACAGACAGACACGCAGCTGGACGGATGGTCAGACAGACAGACAGGCAGCTGGACGGATGGTCAGACAGATAGACAGACAGCTGGACGAATGGTGAGACAAGCAGACAGACAGCTGGATGGATGGGTGGTCAGACAGACAGACAGGCAGACAGACAGACAGACAGTTAAACGGATGGTCAGACAGATAGACAGACAGACACGCAGCTGGACGGATGGTCAGACAGACAGACAGGCAGCTGGACGGATGGTCAGACAAACAGACAGACAGCTGGACGAATGGTGAGACAAGCAGACAGACAGCTGGATGGATGGGTGGTCAGACAGACAGACAGGCAGCTGGACGAATGGACAGACAGACAGGCAGCTGGACGGATGGTCAGACAGACAGACAGACAGGCAGCTGGACGGATGGTCAGACAAACAGCAGACAGCTGGTCGGATGGTGAGACAAGCAGACAGACAGCTGGATGGATGGGTGGTCAGACAGACAGACAGGCAGCTGGACGAATGGTCAGACAGACAGGCAGCTGGACGGATGGTCAGTCAGACAGACAGACAGACAGACAGGCAGCTGGACGGATGGTCATGAGGACAGACAGACAGGCAGCTGGACGGATGGTCAGACAGACAGACAGACAGGCAGCTAGATGGATGGTCAGACAGACAGACAGACAGACAGACAGGCAGCTGGACGGATGGTCAGACAAACAGACAGACAGCTGGACGAATGGTGAGACAAGCAGACAGACAGCTGGATGGATGGGTGGTCAGACAGACAGACAGGCAGCTGGACGAATGGACAGACAGACAGGCAGCTGGACGGATGGTCAGACAGACAGACAGACAGGCAGCTGGACGGATGGTCAGACAAACAGCAGACAGCTGGTCGGATGGTGAGACAAGCAGACAGACAGCTGGATGGATGGGTGGTCAGACAGACAGACAGGCAGCTGGACGAATGGTCAGACAGACAGGCAGCTGGACGGATGGTCAGTCAGACAGACAGACAGACAGACAGGCAGCTGGACGGATGGTCATGAGGACAGACAGACAGGCAGCTGGACGGATGGTCAGACAGACAGACAGACAGGCAGCTAGATGGATGGTCAGACAGACAGACAGACAGACAGACAGGCAGCTGGACGGATGGTCAGACAGACCGACAGGCAGCTGGACGGATGGTCAGACAGACAGACAGGCAGCTGGACGGATGGTCAGACAGACAGACAGACAGACAGACAGACAGACAGACAGACAGACAGACAGACAGACAGACAGACAGACAGACAGACAGACAGACAGACAGACAGACAGACAGACAGACAGCTGGACGGATGGTCAGGCAGGCCGACAGGCAGCTGGACGGATGGTCAGACAGACAGACAGGCAGTTGGACGGATGGTCAGACAGACAGACAGACAGACAGACAGACAGACAGACAGACAGACAGACAGACAGACAGACAGACAGACAGACAGACAGGCAGTTGGACGAATGGTCAGACATATAGACAGACAGACAGGCAGCTGGACGGATGGTCAGACAAACAGACAGGCAGCTGGACGGATGGTCAGACAGATAGACAGACAGACAGGCAGCTGGACGGATGGTAAGACAGACAGACAGGCAGCTGGACGGATGGTCAGACAGAAAGACAGACAGACAGGCAGCTGGACGGATGGTCAGACAGTCAGACAGGCAGCTGGACGGATGGTCAGACAGACAGACAGACAGACAGACAGACAGACAGACAGACAGACAGACAGACAGACAGACAGACAGACAGACAGACAGACAGACAGACAGACAGACAGACAGACAGACAGACAGACAGACAGACAGACAGACAGACAGACAGACAGAGATGTATAATTAAATTTCCCTAATAAAAATAGCGACACTACCCGCCAGTTACGGCATCTTGTATTGCGCGAACCAAATGAAGATTCAGACAGACAAACATCAGACAGACAGACAGACATACAGACAGAGACAAGTAGGTAGGAGAATGGACGGGCATACAGATTGACCGACAGACAGGCAGGCAGTCAGAGAGACAGACAGGCAAACTGACAGACAGCTGGACGGATGGTCAGACAGACAGACAGACAGACAGCTGGATGGATGGATGGTCAGACAGACAGACAGATAGACAGCTGGACGGATGGTCAGACAGACAGACAGGCAGTCAGACAGGCAGACAGGCAAACAGACAGACAGACAGACAGACAGACAGACAGACAGACAGACAGACAGACAGACAGACAGACAGACAGACAGACAGACAGACAGACAGACAGCTCTACGGATGGTCAGACAGACAGACAGACAGACAGACAGACAGACAGACAGACAGACAGACAGACAGACAGGCAGCTGGACGGATGGTCAGACAGACAGACAGACAGCTGGACGGATGGTCAGACAGACAGGCAGCTGGACGGATGGTCAGACAGACAGACAGACAGGCAGCTGGACGGATGGTCAGACAGACAGACAGGCAGCTGGACGGATGGTCAGAGAGACAGACAGACAGACAGACAGACAGACAGACAGACAGACAGACAGACAGACAGACAGACAGACAGACAGACAGACAGACAGACAGACAGAGATGTATAATTAAATTTTCCTAATAAGAATAGCGACACTACCCGCCAGTTACGGCTTCTTGTATTGCGCGAACCGAATGGACAAAGGACACTAATACGGCTCCCATGTTGCATGCAGATGAAAGGGGTCTCTGTAATGTTATTGATCTCTGCTGGAAGCAAACGTAACCGCAGACGCATGAAGTAAGCGGCCTTCATAGATGTTACATAACTGTAAACGTCATTGTATGCTTCTTCTTCTTCTGCCTTTCTATCCCCCAATGGAGCATAGGCCCTCATCCAACTCACGCCAAGTCGTTCTATCCTTCGCCATTGCATTGAGCTCTCCCCATGTCCTCCCCATCTTTTTAACGTCATTCTCCAGCTCTCTTCTCCGTGTATTTTTTGGCCTTCCTTTATTGCTATTCGCCTGTGGGTTCCAATGCAAAGACATTCTAGTTATACTGTTCTTTTGTTTTCTCAGTGTGTGTCCTATCCAACGCCAGCGTCCTTTCCTCACCTCTTGGTCCACCGGAGCCTGTTTAGTTCTCTCCCAAAGCTCTACATTAGTTATTCTATTATAACATTTCATTCCTTCTGTTCTACGCAGGCACCAGTTGATGAATGTTTGTAGTTTATTAGTAATTGTCATTGTATTCCAAGCTAAAAACGTCATCACTCCTCAATACATTCATTGCCATCATCATCATCATGGATGGTGACTGACATAATCGATCAAGACCGTTCACACTTTACATTTTCCAACAACTCTACTTTCGTATCCTTACACACATTGGACTGCAGTTTACTTCGTAACTAATTTACTTCGTAATCGGTTACAACAGGCCCTTTACCCACCGATACTGTTTCCTGCCCTCATTGTCCTGGATCCTTTCGGGCCTGTGAGATTAACACTTAATGGCCCGTATTTGGCTTATAAGTAAGCCACCCTCGGACTCACTAAACTCAAATATAGTTTCATGACGAATTAAAGAAAAAGTTGTCCTCATTACTTGTGATGGTCGAACAACACACTTAGCAACGAGTTTACTTTGTATCAATAGAGGGGTAGAGGAAAAGAGGTAGACCAAGAAAAACTGGATGCAGAACTTGATTAAATAGACGTTACGCTTGCAACCGAGAAGTCCATTGCATCTGACCGTCAAAGATGGAGGGAACTGATCAGAAAGTTAACAGTAGCTGGTGACCCGAAGACACACAGTGTTACAGGACGCTCTTGATAAAGACCTTTTCCTTTTCACGCCTCTAAGAGTCTTGGGCATATAGGGCTAGACCTATATTTTATAGACCCTTCGGCACTTCGGTGATATGGTTAGCATCATACTGACCGCCTTTACTCCCCTGGTACCTGCTCAAGGCTGGGTCGACCTGGGATCCAAGGTCTTTTTTGAAGAAAAATGTCCGTCTCCGTCAGGAACCGAACCAACGACCTTACAATCCGCAGGCGAGCGTCTAGCCGCCACACCAAGGCGACTCCCAGATAATGATGATTCTGATGATGTAATATGCACGATTTGTTTAACCTTTAATGATAGAATTAATTGCATACGGTGGTCTTCATTTGATAAAGTACACTACTCAAAAATGAATAAGATTGCATATTATTGTTAAACTTGTATTTTTTAATGTTTTAAGACTATAGTGTTTGAGTAGTCCTTTTATTGGCCTTCTCCAGGTGTGGTAAAGAGGATTGTGGGTTGCGTGAAAACCATCGGCTATGCCGTTTGTAGCTAAGCTGATAGCAGGGTGGTTTAGGTCGGGCAAGTCTTGTTTCTTACGAATAGACTGGAGAACAGTCAATGATGGCTGCATAGTTCGGTTCAAGAGTGCATATTCTATAGAAATCATTTGAGGTGGTCGCTGGAGCTGCATAGACTGAACTATGTGTGACGCTCTAGACAGACCGCTAACCGCTCTGGAGAGGGAAAAAGAGAGGGCAATAGAGGGGAAGAGAGGGAGAGAGAGAGAGAGAGAGAGAGAGAGAGAGAGAGAGAGAGAGAGAGAGAGAGTCATTTGGGATAGAACCTGGTGCAAATAGGTTAATTCTCTCAATTGAAAAGATTTATCTTTGAACGGCTCGAGACATGTAAGATGCAGCTTTACCTTACTTCCTGAACTAAAATAACAGACAGTTACATGCATCTGTCAAATGTCTGAAGTTTATTCAGCTGACGATACAGGATCATGCAAACTCTGCAGATGACACCCTCGAATACATTCACAAAATATATATACTTTCAGGGACATTGGGGTTCTTGCAGGGGACATTGGGGTTCTTGTAGGGGACATTGGGGTTCTTGCAGGTGAAGTACATGGAGACCCTTACGACCCCCTCTGTGTACCCAGGCACGCTCCGTATGTTCACCCTGATTTTTGACAATCATATATTATGTGATGTGTGTATGTTATCGTCAATCATCGGGAGTCGCCGTGGTGTAGCGGCTAGACGCTTGCCTGCGGATTGGAAGGTCATGGGTTCGACCCTGACAGTCGAACATTTTTTTAAATGACATTGGCTCACAGGTCAACGCAGCCTTGAGTGAGTACCAGGTGCAGGCCTGGGAAGTAAAGGCAGCCAGTGTGATGCTGACCACATCACCAACAAAGTGTTGATTGGTCTATAAAATATTTCATACGTAGCATATGGATAAGCAATCAACACCCCTATTCCTTTATGGTCTTTGCATCCATTTTCATATTATGATTCGTAAAGGGGGTTGGACCTCAAGAGATCTGAGCCTCTGGGTTCATTAGCTCATGATCCGCTATATCCTCGTCTTCTTTATTCTGTTTTTTTTTTTGGCCTAGAAACTTCTAGCAAGAAGTTCTGGTAGTTCGTCCACTTCTGGACTTTGGTCTTGTTCCAGAACGTAAGATTTACGTACACATGCTTTGTACAGATCTGGCATATCTGCAGACTGCTGATTCCTTGCCTCTCAAGCACATGCACTTCGACTTCGTTAAAACCCCGAATTAACCGACTCTTTATATATGCTTGTTGTTGAGGCAGTGCTTCTATAATTTGTTAACCCTACAATGGGGCCCGGAATGCACACGGAAAAAAAGCACTTTCGAACACATCACTGTTTTATTGATTTTAACCGAAGACTAGATACCGGACGTCTGATCATTACCGGCATTGGGACAACCACACTGTCTTCTTGTATCAGACTCGTCCGGGGTTATTGACCTGTTGCAGGCACACACAGAAAGCGAGCCAATCGTCGAGGGCGGCTTAACATAGCGTGCACCGGGCGACCTTGACATTCTGTGAGAGGTCTGCAGAACAAAAAGATTTGCTGGAAAGAGGAAGGAAGGTGTCGATCGTTGTGATATTTAGAAGTGCATCGGCAAAGTTATTTATTTAATTTTCAGAACAGGTCAATCAATCAGGTGCCGTCTCCACAGTGACGGTTGGCTGCTAAGGATCTTCAACACGCCCTATCTATTTGTCGCGGTTGTACACTCTCTCAGACTGCTTTTGCCCTCCGACTTATCCAAGCAGGAGGTATATAAGGTTGAATGGAACAATGTACGAGATTGAGGGAAAGGAGAATGGGGAGGGATCTAATAAGTAATGCAATCTTGAAATGTGTATAATACCTGTTGCTACAGCGTTTGGACTCGTAATAGCAGAATACCTCGATATAATTGTTTTTTACGGATAAAAACACACGTGGTCCACAGAAGGGAGGAAATCCTTTCATCGCCCACTTGACAACTAACCAAACACAGATAAAAAGAATAAACATGTAGATTTGGTAAATCCGATGTCTCAAAATTATAATTTTCAGCAAATTTGACATCTGCTGCTACTGTGGCTACTGCTTAGACGTTTAACAAACTGATATACGTGGTCGCAATGTTGATTCTGATAGACAAAGAGCCTCAATAACATTCATTCGATTCCTCAGTATTGGTTTTTCTTGCATTTTATGTCTGGACTCAAGACTGACGTCTGAGGATAACTCGATCAGCTTTTAATTTCCAAGACAATTAAAGCTTTCAGCTATCGTCTTTAAATGCTGACTTGTTATTTTGAATATCACCCGTACCTGTTTGATTCTCGTCCTGGGGATGCTAATCCTCCAGACTGTAATCCTGTGGAAGAAGACGTTACCTACCAACAAGGCTGTTGAAGTTGGTACTTTCGTATACATTTGGTGCTATTTGACCCTTTCCGAACAGAACTGTACTTTTGTAACCATGCCTGATGTTTTGGTACGATGTAGTTTTCTCTTTCCCTGACAGTTT